CGAAAGCTTGTCCTGAGAAATATGGGACTCACAAAGTTAGGGAGCTTCAACTCCTACTGACGCCTTGTACTCCAGTAGGTGGTGAGACCAGCGTGTAAGGAAATACGGAAGGTTGAGTGAGCAGAGGGTCTTCTTCTAGGTATAAGAGATCGAGGGATTGAGTCTGCAGTATCCGTTGAGGTTGGGCAGAAAAGAAAGCAAGACAGCTGACTGAGACCCTTGGCACTATTTCTGGGTAGACTGCCACGCCACAGTCGCAGCTCATAAAGAGCTCCCCTCCTTGGACCCAGCCTGCACAGCTGTTTTTCTTTTCCCTTAGGTTCATTTTCCAGGGTAGAAGAAATAATGGTGAGTTGTTAGTTATGCTGTGGGACTGTAGTCCCGCCTTAGAATTGACACTTATATTGGGTTTTTTTCGTTTACAAAGTAGTTGAAATTTTTAACAAAGTAGTTAAAAATCTTCACAGCAGTTCTGAGATTCCACATGTTATATATTAGGAAACTAAGGTATAGAATGGTTGGGAAACTTGCCAAAATCGATAGAATAAGGACTACAACTCAGGTCTAACTATAAATTGTATGCTCTACCTGCTAATCCACGCTGCCATGGAATGATGGCAAAGCCAAATCAGACTGAGTCTGGAGCCTGCAAGGGTCTCATCCCTCACTCCCTACCCTCAAACCTGAGCTGGCTTCCCTGGTGATATGCCAAGGTTACCACCACCCCACCAGGGGGCGGCACTCACTTAGAACAAGAAGGCTTAATTTAGGTGGCTTGGGGAGCAACCAGCAGGTGCCCTCCTTCCAAGAGGTAAAAACGGTAGGCTTCTAGGGAGCCAACCTCTCCAGGTAGGAGGCTGTAGGAGGTAGTAGTTCCAAGGGCTAAAGAAGAAGGGATGAGCAAATGGCACTCATGGGTACTGAGTATAGGGAAGGGAATGAGCCTTCTCAGTAGACCCAGAGTTAGAAGTTGGAAAAGCAGGGGGGAGTGGGGAGGGGGTAGAAATCATAGTGCCAGAAGTAACTGTGGCTCTTAGTTACTAAGAACCCAGGCTGGATGGACAAGTGTGATTCCCTGAAGGAACCCAAAACATTAATGCGGCCAGAGCAGTTGGAGTGCTGTTACTGCAGGGTCCCAGGGAGACAAGGAGTTCTTCGCTAGAGAGCCCTGGAGCAAGAGGCCACTTAAGAATATTTTCCCAGGCAAAGGCTCTCCTTATCTAGAGCATCTGGCTGAAACACATGAAGTGATTTCTGACTATCCATAGCCTCAGCCTCCTAGTTGCTCCAAGGCCTTCTGGGCTCTTCCCAAGTTTCTAAACACTGAAGAGCTTCATATGGGAGGTCAAATGCCCCTTAGTTTAGAGTTCCTATGCAGAAATTCCTGAGGAGAAGTGGGGAAAAGGAGGTAAGAAAGAGAACGGAGGTTCCTGAGGGGCGGGGTGGGGTGGGGGAGGCCCCGCGGATACAAAAGGATGGTGCAACTAGCCTGGAGGAGCCAATAGAAATAAGCTGCTCTAGGGGTTCAAGAAGCTGCCAATCTCAGCTCCCTGGGCCCCTGGAAAAAAAACTTATCTCTAGCAGAATATCAGTAGCGAAGGAGGAAGGAAAAACAGAGCTTCTAATGCCCAAGGCACTCAAGAGCTGACGGAGCTTCAAGGGGAGATTCACCATTCTTCACCCAAGGGCCACCTGTCAATCAGGCAACAAATATTGATTATGTACTGGGAGCTTGGCACTCTGAGGGGGCCACTGCAGGAGGGCTGCCTACCTGGACAACATGTCCTGGCATTTACAATTGATAATACAAATTACTTGAAACTATAAACAACATAATATAGATTTTGGGAAAATTTGTGTGGAACAGATGAAAAATACTGAACAAGAAATCTGGCTGCAGAAGTCAAGCAACCACTTTAGGAAAGCGACAGGACTGAAGGTTGATTTTGACAAGCTAGCAGAATTGAGAGAGGGGAGCTCCTTCTCTGGACAAGGAGGGAGGGAGGGAGGGATGGGCCTGGTGTATTTGAGGCACAGGGAGAAGCCTGGCCTGAATGTAGTTGAGGGTGTGTGTCAAGGAATCGGGGGAAATCAGAAAAAAAAAAAAAAGGAATCTGCAAATCCTGTAGAGTGCCAGGGCCCAAATGCCCTGTGTGGAGTGGAGCACCAGCCAGGCTGAGGTTCCAGCTCCTCAGCCTGTTCAGAGGCCTGACTCAGGACAGGGTGGGTCTGTCCTGGGCTGCTGTTGTGCCACTGTCCTGTAAACTCCACCCAAGCTTGCACTCAAGGAAAGGGGTGGAGCTGTGGAATGCTCTTTCCCACTGGAGCCTAGTTCTTGATGAACTAGGAGTGCGTCTTCCCAATGCTTACAAGCCCCAGGCAGCCCCCAGAGAATTGGGTCAGGTAGAGGGCTGTGAGCTTTTCAGGGGGGAAGGGGGTGCAGCGCCCTGTGAATAGGTCATGGCTCTGGTTATCTCCCCGACCTCTGTGCAGAGAGATCTGGCCAAGAAGCTTGTCTTCAGGTGGGAATTGTGTGTAGTCTCCTCCCCTGCCACCACCTCCCACCCCTACTGTTGCCTGTTTTCCCCTCGAATTTGACTAGTTTTGCATCTCCAGGATCGCCCACCCCCGGCCACGCCCCAGTGTCCTTTTCGACTGGACTGCCGACCACTGACCTGACTTTCTTGTTGCCTCTGCCCCCTCCAGAATTCGATCCGCCACAACCTATCCCTGCATAGCAAGTTCATCAAGGTTCACAACGAGGCTACTGGCAAGAGCTCCTGGTGGATGCTGAATCCGGAGGGAGGCAAGAGCGGCAAGGCACCCCGCCGCCGGGCAGCCTCTATGGATAGCAGCAGCAGGCTGCTCCGGGGCCGCAGCAAAACCCCCAAGAAGAAACCAGCTGTGCTGCCAGCTCCACGTGAAGGTGCCACTCCGAGGAGCCCTACTGGCCACTTTGCCAAGTGGTCAGGCAGCCCTTGCTCTCGAAACCGAGAGGAAGCCGATGCGTGGAGCACCTTCCGTCCACGAAGCAGTTCAAATGCCAGCACTGTCAGCACCCGGCCCTCTCCCAGGGAGCCGGAGCCTGAGGTGCTGGCGGAAGAGGAAGTGCCAGCCTCAGCCAGCGGCTATGCAGGGGGTGTCCCTCCCACCCTGAAAGAAGATCTGGAGCTGTTAGATGGGCTCAATCTCACATCTCCCCACTCGCTGCTGTCTCGGAGCAGCCTCTCTGGCTTCTCTTTGCAGCATCCTGGGGTTCCAGGCCCCTTACACACCTACAGCACCTCTCTCTTCAGCCAAGCAGAGGGGCCCCTGTCAGCAGGAGAAGGGTGCTTCTCAAGCTCCCAGTCTTTGGAGGCTCTGCTCACCTCTGATACGCCACCACCTCCTGCCGATGTCCTCATGACCCAGGTAGATCCCATTCTGTCCCAGGCTCCAACACTTCTGCTGCTGGGGGGGATACCTTCCTCCAGTAAGCTAGGCACGGGGGGTGGCCTGTGTCCTAAACCCCTAGAGGCTGCAGGCCCCAGCGGTCTGGTTCCCACCCTCCCGATGATAGCACCAGCACCACCTCCAGTCATGGCGGGGGCTCCGGTCCCCAAGCCCCTGGGGGTTCCTGTGCTCACACCTCCTACTGAAGCTCCAAGCCAAGACCGAATGCCTCAGGATCTTGATCTCGACATATACATGGAGAACCTGGAGTGTGACATGGATAACATCATCAATGACCTCATGGATGGGGACGAAGGACTGGACTTCAACTTTGAGCCAGGTATGGCCCACCTTAATCATGGCAGCATCTCACAACCTATTCCTGTTCCTAGGTGTCCAGCTAGTCCTGTGATCTAGCAAGGGGGAGATTGAGAACAAGGGGTAGCTGGAAGTCCCAGGGAATTAGAGGGAGGACATCCCATTAGAGTGGCATAGTTTCCAGATGGGACCTTCAAGGCCCCTCAGCAGTGCTCACTGCTACACGGAAGCACGGGAGAGGTGTGGGAGGGGCTGTCTCTGTTTTCCTTAATGTGGTTCTTGCTGATGGAAAGTTGTCATGCCCCCAGATGAGTCTCTGACCTTGTCCTCCGTTTTTTCTTCCCACAGATCCCTGAGCCATGGTTGGAAGCTTCATTCCCTGCTTCAGAGACAGAACCAGGCGTGCCCATATCCACTCTTTACCCTTGACCCCTCCCAGGGAATTTGGGACCCTGCTTTAGAGCTAGAGTAGGGTCTGCTCACCTGGGTACTGAGAAAATTATAAAGATATAGCTGGGGGGTGGGGAGGGTGAGGGGAGGGGAAGGGGAGAGGGTTTATTCTCACTGTGCCAATTAGGGAGCCATCCTCAGCTCCCCCCCCCCCACGCATTCCCACCCCATAGATTTTGTAGCATGGGCGGGCAATACTGTTGGAAATGTGAAGTCACCAGTGGCCTTACCCCTGCCTTTGGGAGCAGGATTTTTTGTAGAGTCTTATCTGAGCTGGTCCAGGCTGGATTGAGCCTGAGATTTTTATGCAGTGGCCCCTTGGGCCAGTGGTGTGGGACTGGGGGTGTAACAGGGATCTGGAAGGGCCAAGGTATGAAGCCTGGAATGGCTGTGGCTCACCAAGCCAAATCACCCTTGGAAGACTACGGATAACAGAAAGGCTTTTTGTAAACCTTCAAAGAAATATAAACACATAATAGGGAGATGTTACACAGTGGCAAGGTGTTAGTGATGGGGAGAGTGCTTTTTTCTTTTTGGAAGGCTTTGCCGTAGTCACCTGATACAAACACTACAGATATTATTCTTGGAAACACGGGGGAGACAGGGGAGAGAACACTAGGCCTGCAGAGAGCAGGGGGCAAGGGGAAGAGCTCCCATGAGGACCAGGTCTAGAACATGATCTGCACTGAACTAGCTTGGAGTTTTCCTGAGGAAAAGCTAAGCCAGGTGCCTTCATCCTGTCACCTTGTGCCTAGGAGTGTGTGGTGGTGGGGTGCAGCCACACTCTCTCATGACCCCCTATGGGTTACTGCTATGGTGGGAGAGTGCAGTTGAGGGCCTGGAATGAGTCTGTGGCCTGGGAAGGGGGTAGGAGTGGGGAGAAGAGAAGGAGGGAAGGATTTAGGGTGGTAAAGTTAGGCACAGAGACCTCCCTGTTCCAGGCCCCAGACAGCTGTCCCTGCCCTTCTTCCCCTTGCCTGACTGCAGGGGTTATGGGGAAGTGTGTGTGGTGGCAGGCAGGGGGAGGGGTGGAACCGGGAAGGGGGAGCTGGGGAGCTTGGCTGAGGGTCTGGGAAATGAGCAGGGATGGAGGAGAATGTAGATCAGGTTTACTAGCACCTGCTAGGGAAGGCCATCTGGGGCTCATTCTCCACCCTAGCCCCCAAAGCAGTCCCTCCCCCAGTCCTCTTTGCATTGTCCCCTCCCCTGCCCCTGCTGTGGGTTCCCATCATTTCCTGTGTCAGCGCCTGGCCTACCCAGATTGTTTCCTGTGCTAGATTGGAGTGGGGAAGTGTGTCAAATCAATAAATGAATTAATTCAATAAATGCCTATAACCAGCTCTGGTTTCTGCTGCCTCTCTGTTCCCCTGCGGATAAGGAAGGAGCGGGGATAGGGACTGCCCAGAGGCAGACTGGTGGGGGGCAGGGGGATTTCAGCCGGGGACTTGGTGGAGTATGGTGGGGGAGGGAAGATGCCCATCCCATCACCTAACCCCAGCAGGAGTAGGCGGTCTGTGATAGGCCTCCCAAGGGGAGGTCGTCTGGTTGGAAAAGACCCCACCCCCTACTCTGTCCCTCAAAGGCTTATTGTACTACATTTTGCTGCCTTTCCTCACCCCCCACCCAAGTGCTTGCCCCTGCCCTCTCCTGGTCCTTTGGATCCTGAGAGCCTCCACAATGCCTGGGGCAGATTTAAGGCTTGGTGTTGATATTGGGAGAAGTCTTTCTTGAAAAAAGGAACCTCACATTAAATGTCAGTGATTTCATTGCAGCTCTCACTTGGTCACTTTATTTTGTTAGTGATGTTTATCTCTCCTACTGACAAAATCCCCTCTGGTCTTCAAGACCGGAGCCCTATGAGTGGTCCCCTCTTCATCTGATCGTCCTGATGATTTGGACTGGAAAAGGAAAGGGTCAGTAAGTACAAAGGCCCCTACAGAGAAGTTTTCTACAAACTAGGGCCAACGGCAGGACCAAAGAGGTGAGAGGCAGGTCTTGGGCATGAATGTTGGATTTGGAAAGGAAATTCATCCCAGAGAGCCAGGGCAGAGAAGACTTCAGTAGACAGGTGGGGAAAGGAGGCTTCTGGGGCAGACCATGTTCAGTTAAGGCTTACTAGGAGGTTCATGGAGGATTCAGTTGAAATGACTTTCTTGGATTCTTGGATTCTAAGCATTTTCACTCGACTTCTCTCCAGGAGGTCACATTGTGTACACAAGGCATCTAGGAACCAGGGAAAGTCACCCCCCACACACACACCTCTGAGGACTAGAGACCTTCCCTACCCATCCTGGCCCTTCCATCATTCACATGATCACTTGGAGTAACCAGGCCTAAAGCTAGGCTGAGGAGTAACCCGAAGGTGCCTAAGCTTTACTCTTTTCAGTGGGAATCGGGACGCCAAGAATCCAAAAGCAGAAGATGAAGGGAAAGATGGGAATGAGGTGGTGGGGATAGGGAGATGTACTGAGAAGATGGCTGAGAAATGGCGAGGAGGGGTGAGTGGGACATGCACACTCCACCTGGTTTGAGCCAAGCATCACTCCTGAAGTGGACCTAGACCTAGACTCTAGACTCTAGGATCTTGTGATCCTACCTGACAGACTACACCAGCTCCAGCCTATATTCTCAATCACCCAGCTGAGTCCAGTATCCTTCACATTCCTCCTTCCTCCATCATGCTGCTTACCAACAAGCTTGGGTTCTGGGTTCTTCAGGAGGGGCACAAATGCTTTGTAGGCATTCTCAAATCCAGTTCCTGTGAATACAGTAGTGCAATACCCCTAGCCCCATCACCCAGCCTCTCCCTTCCAAAGCCCAAAATTTCAGGACCCTAATACTCAATACTACCTTGGGCTGGTGTAACTTATTTCCTCCCCTCAGGTCCATCCCTCAGCCAGGTCGGGGTAGGGGTTGGAGGCACAGAATATGCTAACTTAACCATTGTCACAGAGGCAGTGCTCTTTCTTAGGCTTGACTAGAGACAGTCAATTTGGATATGGTCGAGGGGGCCCTACTTGAAGGATCGGATTCACGGTCCAGCTTTGGGGCCTTACTCTATCCCTGGGGAATGCTCCCAAGTCTCTACCTGGTGCCCCACACTCCACCTTACAAACATAGTAGGTGTTTCGAGCTGTAAGGAATTTGTTGGCATAGTCTCCAGGAGTCTTCATCAGAAAAAACAACTTCATTGTCCCCGTTTCATCACATAAATCAATGGTGTCTGGAGGGAGGCCACAGGGTAATTAAGGCAGCTAAGGAAGGGGAGCAGGAGTGAAAGGGGCCAGTGATCCTATCCAGAACAGGTTGAAGAAGCTGTGGGGATTCAAGGAGCTCTCTTCTTGCCATCAGGAGAACTCGGGGGCTTGAAGTAGTAGGCTCGATGACCGTACTACTTCAGACCCTTGGCCACGAGTCCCCTCCCCACACTCCTCACCTGTTTTAGGCAACCCCACTTTATGGCGGGCATAATGCAGCAGCAGAAGGACAGAACAGTTAATGTTGGCCAGAAACAGCTGATTATCTGAGAAAAGACAGGATGGGGCATGTGGCCCTTCCCCAATTATACCATCCCTGTGCCCTCCACTGCGCCTCCAACACACCCAACCCTACACATAGACTCCAGCTCTGTGATACCCCTCACCTCCATGTTTGATAAAGATGAACATGCTCTCAAGATCTTCTCATTCTTCAAAGAGAGTCTTGATATGTCATGGCAGAAGGAGGGTGTCCTAGAGGCCTTGGGGAGCCAAGTGGGCCCAAAAGATCAGGGGGCTGGAGAGGCGGATGGATTACATTGACTGAGGAGGCCCAGACTGGGCAGACAGGAGAGAGCTATGGGCAGTAGTGGATAACCAATATCCCTAGGGGTGGGGCCTGAGGCTGCAGCTGAGGGATTATGAGATCAGAAGTGCTATGTGTGGCAGCGGGGGAAGGAAGGCTAAGAGGAGAAGAACCTGGGTGGGGTCTATAAAAATGTGTTGAAAATGGGGGCAATGACAATAACCGAAGAAAATCAGGGCAGCATGGTAAATCTTACTCTAAACTGGCCCCCTTAAAGAGTGTAGGACACCTAGAATGAAGTCTGTTTCTGGAGCAGCACTCTTTCCTAGGGAATTTGTAGAGCCACTGCCACTGTGGCAGGAGCCCATGGCTCCTGTTTCATGCCCTCAGTACTGTGCCTCCCACCCTCATTGTATCCCACGTTTCCCTTGCTCCCCACCCCAACAATAGACATCCTTGATGATTATCAACAGAAATTTTATTTCTCATTAGTTTCTGGAACAATTGAAGAGTAGATGGCAAGGGGGAGGGAGGGACGGCAGAAGCAATACTGTGAGGAGGAAGGGCTGGACTGGGGGAGATGAGAAACATGGATGGGGCCAAGGGGCAATTCTCAAATAGGAGATATTGAACGAGGGGGCAGTGATAGGGGGAACAAAATTCAAAATCAGCCACAGGCGGCGAGGTGAGCATTGGACCCAGGTTGGTTGGACAAGGGCAAGTTAGCACAGTTTAGGGCTCCAGGACCCTGGATTCTCTTCAGGGCCTCAGGGCTCAGGTTTCAGGGTGTAACATGGAGGAGCCCAGTAGGGGCTGTGCTGGCTGCAGGGGGAACCCCCAGGCCCTTCCCCTCCTTTGGGGGGAATCTCACTGACGTGGCAGAGCCGTTCACTGTAGTCTGGCTGCAGACTCTCCGCCAATCCCTTAGATACACCACTCCAGGCCTAAAGACAAATAGCTCCAGGTCAGGGGCCTGTGCCAAGGGAACTCTCCTGATCTGCAACCACTGTGATTACAGAAGAGACACACACACTCCTGGCCCCCCAACACCACTGTTTCCATCTGCCTCAACCAATCTAGGATCAGTTCTTCTGGGTGTCTCTGTGTCGAGCCCATCCCCCAAATGGTCAGCCACATCCTGACTGTTAGTACAGGCCCCTCTCCCCTCCCCTCCTTCCCCCATGCTCTGTCTAGCTGGCAGGCAGTTGGTGGCAGTTGACACACTGAAGTCTGCGTATGACAGTGTACTCACCGAGAAGTTTCCATGGTATTCAGTAACCAGATCCTCTAGGTTCTTGAGGGTAGGAATTCGGGGCATTGTCCTGAGCAGGGAGAAAGAGGGAATAGGAGCACATCAGTCACGCTCTTTTATTTTCCTTCTCCCCCTTCTCCCACATGGAATGAAATGAGTCTGTGTTGCCTGTGCCTGCATCTTCTTTTCATCCTCATGCCCTCTTGGGTGATCCTCTTGGGTGATTCCTTACTGTCCCGCCCTCTACTTCTGGAGACCCTGTAATAACCCTCCTCTACTATTCCCAGCACCCCCTCCCCACCTCATTTTCCTGGGATTCGGAATTCTCACCGTTCCAGCCAGCAGTACACACAGATGAGGCTCACTATCAATCCCATGGAGCCAAGAGGGATCAGCACAGCTTCCAATGCAAACAACGAAGGATTTTCAGGATTCTCAAGATTCTCTGTCAGAAAGAGGAAAGGAAAAGAGACCTAACATTTGTAGTACCCCTACTATGTGCCAGCATTTAGAGCGCCAACTTGGTGCCAGACACTGTGCTAAACACTATCTGTGTATTCAATCCTCACAACTCCTGAGGGGCCAGGGAGCAATTATTATGTTCATTTTACAAAGAAACAGAATCAAAGAGGTGAGTGATGTGCCCAAGGTCAAAGAGGTAGGAAGTGGCAGAGGCAGGTTTAAACCTTAGATTTGCCTGGTTCCAAAAGGCATCTTTACCACACAGGCTTTCTGGGAACACTGCAGGGAAATCTTACACATTCTGTATCCCCCCTGAATACCCCCTCAGCCTCCTTCTCAACCCACTCTCCCCACTCTATCAACACACTGATCCAACACTACACAGAAAAATCCTGCTTCCTGGGAGTTGGAGTTGAACAGTGAGGGGAGATGGGCCACCAAGTTTGAGGTCTTAGTGGTAGGGAGGCAAGGCAAAAGACAATGGTGCTAGAAAGGTTGGGGTACTCGGCTCATGGGTCAGGGTGATGCGTTAGGCCCATTTTACCTTTTGAAGTATTGCTGCCCCAGTGAATTGGGTAGCTCCAGTCACTCCAATGCTGAGCACTTCCGCAAAGTGGGTTATAACGGCTCCGAACACGGAACGTGTAGAGCTTCTGTGCATCCACACTAGGCAGAGAGAAGCTATGTCTGTGGTCCACGGATTGTTCCTTGAGGAGAAAGAGAGTGAGGGAAAGATGGGTGTCTATAGAAGAAGGGAGAATGAAAACTGCTGCCCCCACTCCCATCTCACGTCATCTTCTGGTTCTTCTCAGTTTCTCCCTCCTCTCTTGACTATTCAAGTCACACTGCTACCTTCACTAACCAGAATTGAATGCTTTTGTTTACTTGCCTTTCTGGTATTGGGAAGAGTATGAGTAGGGAAACCTTAAGGAAAACTCAAAGATGAGGAGAAAGAAAGGAGTCAGAGGAGCAGGGTGGAAGGTGGGCAGGGGAACTAAGAGGCAGACAGCAGGAGCTGGGGACCAGCATTCCTACTGGCTGATTGACTCCTTTATCCCTACTTGCTCGGCCTGGGCTGCTATCCCCACTCACTCACCGTCCAGCTTTGGTCCCGGTCACTCCGGTACTGCACCAGGTGCTCCAAACAGTGGTCCAAGTATCTGTTGCTCCAGCTCAGTTCTAGCTGGAATTCACTCAGGTTGCGAAGTGTCAGGTTCTCCGGAGCCCAGGGGATCACTGGAGATATGTGTGCGTGTGTGGTCATTCCCCTGGCCTAGATAAGTCAGGATCCTGAAGGTAGTGCCCCCAAGCCCTCCTCCCTCCCCCATTCTATCCCTCACCTCCTCTTTTCTGCCACTCTGTACACTCATGGTGAAAGAACACCACTTTAAATACTCCAATACCCCACAATATCCTTTGACTTTCCTTTCCAACTTACCCAGATCCTGCAGTTTTAGCATCTGTTTGGGCTGCTTCCTGTGTTCCCGTGGGTCCTGGAGCTGGACAACAAATGTTTCATAAAGACGGATCTCCTTTTTTCCAAACCAACAGCCAGAAGTGATTCCTTCAGAGAATAGATAGTGGCCACACTCCTGGAGTTTATCATCACCATTAAAGTTCCTGTACCTAGAGAAAATTTTCAAGAGACAATAACAATGAAGTAAACTTGGGTACTCCAGATTTCCACAGCCCAGCCTCGGCTCCTCTAAACTGATTTTTTTTTTCTTCTCTAAACTGATTTATGACTTACCTCATGAGAAATTAGTGGAGAGCTTAGGGTGCTGGCTACTCTCTTTCTTGGTCCCCATACAGTCTTTTCACATCTAGTCTTTCACATCACCTCCTCCTCCCGCCACCCCCCCCCCCCGCCGGCTACCGCCTCTCCCTTTCTCATACCCATAATGCAGAGTCAGGTTGTTGGGCTGGGGCTCAGAGCTGCTGTTCCAAGTGCAATTCATATACTCCACATTGAACACAAAACACTGAACCTTTGGGAGGGGCAGAGTGGAAACATCGAGGGTCCCAGCGGGTGTTGAAGTCAGGAAGGAGTCTAGCTTGGAGAGAAAATGAAGTGGGGGAGGGGAAGAAAAGACAAGATGGTCGGAAGCAGAAGCAGAGCGAGGCAAGGAACCCTTCCCTTGCCCTCCCTACAGTACTCTTAAATTCTGCCCGCATCCTTCTAATGCCCGGTGGCAGGTTTCAGGATTCTGTGCGACCCCTTCCCACAGCTTCCCTTCTCACCAACCTCCTCCAGTCCCAGGTTTCCCACCAATGTCTTCATTCCCATTGGGCGTGAGGAACTTTGGATTCAGCCCCACCCCCAGCAGAGGCAGCTGGAGAAATAAGAGGGATCTGAGTGGCAACGGTGGCTTCAACATGGCGCTTACTCTTCGTTCCCTGGGTGTTGACTGTGTCAGGAACCTGGGCCCCTTACCCACTACCCCTCCCCACCCACACATTTCCTTCTGTCATAACTTCCGGTGGAAAGAACCTTAGAAACCAGGGCTTTACGGAGGGTGTGGTGAATGTCTGCTATGACACAGACTAAATCCTCCAGGAGATTAGGTGTTAATCTAATCTGTAGGTATAACACCACCACTGTAATGTGGTGTTAAGTAGAGACTAAAGCTGGGTATCCAATATTGTCGCAGACTCAAGAATCCTCAGACTACCTAGATCCCGGGAAGGATCTGTTCACTACCACCACCATTCCCAATCACCTTCTCATCTAAATTGTTTCATCCCATAGAGTGGAAGGTCTGAACATCCCCTCATCTGATGCTAGGCTTCTTCCTTGACTCAGTTACCCTGAAACGGCTATCAAAGCTCTACTGTCTTGGGCTGGACAGAAAATGCAGTCTTGGCTCCCATGAGCACATCTATAGCTATCTTCCCTCTGACCTAATCCAAATCAGAATATCCATCCTTAGCTGTTTTCATAGCTGGATCCCTGTGGAGACTGGCAAGGAGGTCTGACTTACAAGGAAGATTTCAGAAATGAAGGAACAACAATGCTAGCTTCAAACTCCTCATCTTGCCCTGAATCTGCTTCTCTTCCTGTGTCTGTATCTCATTTAATGGTATCATCACCCTTTCAGTCACCCAAATTTGAAACCTCAAAGTCATCATCAGTTTCTCCACCTCCCTCATCCTGAGAATCCAATCAGCTCTCCTGTCATGTGTCTCCCAGCCATGTCCTTTCTGTGACCACAGCCACTGTGCTAGATCAGCCTTTTATTCCCTCTAGTCACCATCAGTACTAGAACCCACAAACTGGCCTCCCTTTCTGAAGGCCCCCTGCTCTCAAATACATTCTTCATTTTGTTGCCAGATGTACCTTCCCCCAAACACAGATCTGACTGGAGACTCTATATACATAAATTGATTATTTAGTAAACATTTACTGAGGCTTTCATATGTGCCAGGCACTGTGCTTATTTTCTAACCCACGTTAATTTTCCGTGGGTTAAAATTCCTCAGGGTTAGCTCAAATGTTACCTTCTCCAATATGTCTTCATCTCTCCAACCAGAATTAGTCTTCCCATTGATTCAACAGCATTTTGTTATTGTTACTTTTATTTGTTATTTGCTAGTTTTATTTTATTTTTGCTAGTTTTATTATTTTTTATTTATTGTTGACTGAGATCAAATCAGTCAATTCTAAAGGAAATCAGTCGGAGTATTCATCGGAAAGACTTATGCTGAAGCTGAAACTCCAATACTTTGGCCACCTGATCTGAAGAAGTGACTCATTGGAAAAGACCCTGATGCTGGGAAAGACTGAAGGCAGGAGAAGGGGATGACAGAGGATGAGATGGTTGGATCCATCACCGACTCAATGGACATGAGTTTGAGCAAGCTTTGGGAGTTGGTGATGGACAGGGAAGCCTGGCGTGCTGCAGTCCATAGGGTTGCAAAGAGTTGGACACCACTGAGTGACTGAACTGAACTGATTTATTATCAAGTTACTTTTATTACAACACTCTATCTTTTCTCTAAAAGGCAATACCATTATAGAAAGAATGTGAAGAGTCAAGAAAAGTATGATATCATTTATATGTGAAATCTAAAACAATACAATAGAAAATTCCCTGGCAGTCCACTGGTTAGGGCTCCGGACTTCCTCTGCAGGGGGCACAGGTTTGATCCCTGGTCTGGTTGGGGAACTAAGATCCTGCAAGCTGCTTGGTATGGTCAAAAAAGAAAGAAAGAAAAAAATACAACCAACTAGTGAATGTAACAAAAAAAAGAAGCAGATTCATAGATACAGAGAACAAACTAGGGGTTACCAGTTGGGAGAGGGAAAGAAGAAAGAAAGTGAAGTCACTCAGTTGTGTACTGACTCTTTGCGACCCCATGGGCTGTAGCCTACCAGGTTCCTCCGTCCATGGGATTTTCCAGGCAAGAATACTGGAGTGGGTTGTCATTTCCTTCGCCAGGAGATCTTCCCAACCCAGGGACTGAACCCAGGTCTCCCACATTGTAGGCAGGCGCTTTACCACCTGAACCACCAGGGAAGTCCCAGGAGAGGGAAAAGAGAAGGGAAATATAGGGTAAGGGAGTAAGAGACACAAATTTATGTATAAAATGAGCTACAAGGATATATTGTACAATATGAGGAATATAGCCAATATTTTATAATAATTGTAAACTTTAAAATTGTCAATGGCTATATTGTACATCTGTAACATATAATATTGTACATCAAATGCAGGTCAACTTTAAAAAGCAGGAAAAAAAAAACCAAAAGCAGGAAAAAAAGAATAGCAACAAGATGATACACTACTTTAAAAAAGAGAGGGAGAGAGAGTTGAGAGAAAAAAAATCCTAGTCTCAACTGTTACATAGTAGCCATATAATACAGGGCAAGTGAACTTCCATTCTGAAAATCAGCTTCCTCAACCACAAAATGGATACAATAATATCCCTAACTCAGTTTTTTTTTTTTTTTTTTTTGGCAGGCCGGGGTGGGAGGGCGGATTAGAGACAAGGTCTGAAAAACATCTGACACTTAATAGGTGCCTCTCTCAATAGAGCAAGGATTCTTAACCTGGAGTTCATGGACCCTTAGAGGATATGTGAATAAAATTCAGGAGAGGGCCTAAGAATCTTCCTACAGAGTCAGACACCACTGAGCGACTGAACTGAACTGAATTGATAGAAAGTATCTAATCTCTATCAGTTCAGTTCAGTTCAGCCGCTCAGTGTGTCTGACTCTGTGGCTCCAGGAACCGCAGCATGCCAGGCCTCCCTGTCCATCACCAACTGCTGGAGTTTACCCAAACTCATGTCCATTGTGTCAGTGATGCCATCCAACTATCTCATCCTCTGTTGTCCCCTTCTCCTCCTGCCCTCAATCTTTCCCAGCATCAGGGTCTTTTCAAATGAGTCAGTTCTTCGAATCAGGTGGCCAAAGTATTGGAACATCAGTCCTTCCAATGAACACCCAGGACTGATTTCCTTTAGGATGGACTGGTTGGATCTCCTTGCAGTCCAAGGGACTCTCAAGAATCTTCTCCAGGCGAGGGTGGGATGATCTGAGAGAACAGCATCGAAACATGTGTATTATCAAGTGTGAAACAGATCATCAGTCCAGGTTGGATGCATGAGACAAGTGCTCGGGGCTGGTGCACTGGGATGACCCAGAGGGATGGGATGGGGAGGGAGGTGGGAGGGGGGTTCAGGATGGGGAACACATGTAAATCCATGGCTGATTCATGCCAATGTAAGGCAAAAACCACTACAATATTGTAAAGTAATTACAAAAAAAAAGAATCTTCTCCAACACCATAGTTCAAAAGCATCAATTCTTCAGTGCTCAGCTTTCTTTATAGACCAACTCTCACATCCATACATGACCACTGGAAAAACCATAGCCTTGATTAAACGGACCTTTGTTGACAAAGTAACGTCTCTGCTTTTTAATATGCTGTCTAGGTTGGTCATAACTTTTCTTCCAAGGAGTAAGCCTCTTTTAATTTCATGGCTGCAATCACCATCTGCAGTGATTTTGGAGCCCCCCCCCCCCCAAAATAAAGTCAGCCACTGCTTCCACTGTTTCCCCATCTATTTGCCATGAAGTGATGGGACCAGATGCCATGATCTTAGTTTTCTGAATGTTGAGCTTTAAGCCAACTTTTTCATTCTCCTCTTTCACTTTCATCAAGAGGCTCTTTAGTTCTTCTTCGCTTTCTGTCCTAAGGGTGATGTCATCTGCATATCTGAGGTTATTGATATTTCTCCCGGCAATCTTGACTCCAGCTTGTGCTTCTTCCAGCCCAGCGTTTCTCATGATGTACTGCATATAAGTTAATTAAGCAGGGTGACAATATACAGCCTTGACGTACTCCTTTTCTTAGAAAGTATCTATTTTGTATATCTCTATGCGCATTTTTTCTGGGAAGAAGGGCCTTAGCTTCCATCAGCATTTTAAAGGGATTGTGAAACACAAGAGGTTAAGAACCTCAGTCATGGACCATAAAGACCTTGAGGGATTAGAGCCGACCTTTCAGGGTTTAACACGTGCTTTCTCATGCATATATAGTTTCTAATCTTCTCAATAGTCCCTTAAAGGAGGTGTTAGTAGTATACCTATTTTTCAAATGCGAAAACGAAGAAGCGGTTGAAAAAGGGAAGAGTTCCTACAGACGACCTAGCCCTTAGAACCCAGTTCCAGTAGGAGGTCATCGCCTCGGCCGCCTCCCACCTCGCAGGTTCGTATTCCCAGCGCAGCACACGACTGGCAGACGCTGCAGGAATCTTGACTGAGTGAAATCCACCTCCCGCGGCGGGCGCCGAAAAGCTCCGGGGGCGCGGAGCTCCGCCCCACGCCGGGCTGGGCCCGCCCCCGCTGCGGTCTGTATTGTCAGACGGTTCCCGGCGTCCCTCGGTTTCCCTCGGTAGTTTCCGGCAAAGATCGGGAGTTTCTAACGTGCCCCTTGTAGTCTCTCGGCTGCCGTCCTCGCCACTGCCGCCCCTCTTTTCGGCTCCCTCTCCCCCTCCCCGCCGCGGCCGGGCCCGACTGGCGCCTCTGGCGCTACGGGCTGGGCAAGATGGCGGCCTTCGGGATCTTGAGCTACGAACACCGGCCCCTGAAGCGGCCGCGGCTGGGGCCTCCTGATGTGTACCCTCAAGATCCCAAACAGAAGGAGGTGAGTTCAGAAATTCGGGCTCCCAGGGGGCCAGGGGCCAGCGATCGGCATAGGAGGAAGCACTGATGGCTCGGGGAAGCGGGGGCGGGGCGGCTCCGTGGGAGCGAAAGTCCCGAAAGGGGGAAGAGTAAAGTGGGCTGGTGTCGGAGAGTAAGACCTGGGGGAGGTGGGGACTGGTTCCTGGGCTAGAACCGGGAGTGATGTTGGGGCCACGCTGGAGGCGCCCC